TGTAAAAGCCCAAGAACCTTACTTCCAATCCAAGAAAAAGGGTAGACTTCTTCCATTACTGATACATGCAGTAGGTCAGTGCTGTGGAAGTGTCCATGATATACAAAGAAAAGCTTATCATTATGTAACATATTGCGATAACAATAACATGCTATCATATCACACCACCCTACTTCGGACAAACACTGTTTGCAAGAGCAAGACAAATAATCTTGGTATCTCTTTCTGTTTTCCTGCACAATCACAACCCTCTGATACAAAACAGTAAAGTTTCTGGCAGATCAAGCTCATTATTTTTATTAAAGTGCTGAAGCTCTTGCAGGTTGATGGCCTTCATTCAGCCTGTCGATAAGCTCCAGGAAACATTTATCACCAAGTCCATCACATTTCCCTCCAGCTACATTAACAATGTCTAATTACACAGATAAGCTCATCTATCTGAGACTCCAGCACACGTGGATCTGCCCACATGTGTTACAACCAATCGATTCTGCAGTACATGTGAGCCTGATTCATTGACATTATGCTCTGCATGTGTGGTGTTAATCACTGCACAGTGAAACAGCTCTGCTGTATTACCTCTATTACTGCTATTAGTCACAACAACATGATGGGCAGAAAAATGAAATCCCATAAAAATGACTGTCTCACCAACACCAGCAGGACTGGCCAATACCATGAACTTAAATTGGAGAAAAATAAAGCCTAAAACCTCACGTGACCTAAAGCCTAAAGGTGGACACGTGGTCTAAAGTCAGATATGTAGCACAGAAGCATTCATTATAACAGCAACTCACTGCACAGAGTTAAGCAGCCTAAAAGACAGCCTGTGGGTTGTCTGGACTAAAGCCTAAAACCTAAAGCCAAATGTGTGCATAAAGCCTAAAACCTAAAGCCAGAGAGGTGCCCTATAGCTTAATGTCTAACTTCTAAAGCCAAAAATGTGGCCTAAAGCCTAACATGGATACCTGTTCTAAAGTGTAAAGCCTAAAGACAGCCATAAGGCTTAAAGTCTGGAGTCTGAAAGCAGATGTGTGCCCTAAAGCCTAAGGCATGTGTGGCCTAGAGCATACAGTCTAAAGGCAGACGTGTGGCCTAAAGCCTGAGGATAGACATGTGGCTTAAAGCCTAGTCTAAAATCAAGCACATGGCATAAAGCATAAAGCCATATGTGTGGCTTAAAGCCTAAAGCCTGATGTATGGCCTAAAGCCTAGAGTCCAAAAAAGCCTAAAGCATAGAGTCTAAAGACAGTGATGTGGCCTAAAGCTTAAAGTTTAAGGCCTAAAAGCAGACATGCAGTCCAAAGCATAAAGTCAGATTCGTGGCTTAAAGTTAGATGCCTGGCCCAAAGCCAGATGCACAGTTTAAAGCCTAGAATCTAAAAGGAGATGTGTGATCTAAAGCCTAGACTCTAAAAGGAAACATGTGGGCTAAAGCCTGATGCATAGTCCAAAACTTGGAGTTTAAAAGGAAACGTGGCCTAAAGCCAAATGTTTGGCCTAAAGAGTCTACAGTCTAAAAGTGGGATGTGAGGCCTTAAGCCTAAAGCATAGAGTCTTAAGACAGACAAGTGGCCTTAAAAAGCTTAAGGTTTAAAGCCTAAAGGAAGACATGTGGCCAAAAGCATAAAGTGTGATGTGTTGCCTAAAGGAAGATGTGTGGCCTAAAGCGTAGACTCAAACATGGAATATGTGGCCAAGAGCCTAAAGACAGACATATGGCTTAAGCCTAAACATGGATGTGAGGCCTAAAGCCTAAAGCACAGGGCCTAAAGGCAGATACATGGCCTGATATCTAAAGTTTAAAGCCTAAAAACAGATGTATTGCCTAAAGCCTAGAGACGTGTGGCCACTCTAACACCAGCCCAGCAGTGTGCACACCATTATGAGAATGTCTCTCTGCACAATGCTAAGCAGCCTAGCCACTTGTGGAGGCGTCCCAGCCCAAAAACGCTCAGAACTCATTGTCCAGCCTCCTTTTGTGGCTGAGTGCCACTGTACTAAGGAATCTGGAGAAGAAAAGCTGCCTAACAGTTGGTCATGCACCAGTGCTCTTGGCAACAACAAGGCTGTGGCCTATATTGCCTTAATTTTGCTTTAGCGGCCATGTCCTCTCAACAGAAAGCCCATTACCAGTTATAGAGCAGGCTTTATTGGAGTGGGAGCTTTGAAGGGCAGAACAAAAGAGTGTCCTATGTTTAGATTAGGTAATGTAAGCAACGGGTTTTCTGCATGGACGACGGCACACAATAAGCCACCTCCTGAATACCAGTCAGCCCAGAAAAAACATACTCGGATCAGAGGGACATTTCTCTGGTAATTACTTGAAGAAAGGAGAGAGGGGAAAAAAACTAATCAAACGCAGTCTGGCCTGTCGAAACTGTAACTAAATGATGCTTATCATTAACAATGCGGATAATGGCTATGCGTGTTCTGATTGCCTAACAGCAAATTTGAAGGTAATTTGTAGTAATCCTGCACAGTTGAATGTAATTTATCGCTGAGGCTTACACTTGGCCACAAATAGAGGAAAAAAAAATTATATGTACAATCTGTGAGTAACCACGGCAACCCTGCAAACAAACACTGCGATGAAATATATGTGCAGAAATCAGTCTGTACAGGTGCTTCAGTATTTCTGAATTTCGCTTCACTCAATTTAAATACATGGTTCAACTCTTTACTTTGCTGATAAGCATATTCAGTTTCTATGACAAAATCAATCATTAGAAGAAATTAAATGGCAGCTAAAGATATAAAAATAAACAGGATTGATATTTATTTAGGTTAGCATCAGTGGCTTGGTTGTGGCCTGGCTATTTCCATAAACTAAGTTTTTGTGTGGGTTGGCTAACATCAGCTCAGCATTTTAGCAGTTAAGAAGGCTACTAGCAGTTTAACTTCTACTCTTGTAAAAGTCAGACTACGGCTTCAAAATGAGGCCAAAACATTTGGAGCTGTCATGATTTCAAAACAAGGTAGGTAAATAAATTCTCATGTATAACCCTTTGTTTTAAACTTCTGTATGCTCTAGAAACAAATGGAAGAGAGAGAGGGGAAACAGAAAAGTAGCTTATCTAATCTCACAAATCAGGTTGCCACTGATTCACTAGCACAGCAATGTAAACATATCAGTGCAAGAAAAATGTTTGGGCCATATTTTAATGTTATACAGTAAATAAATATTTGTGTACTTTATATAAAAATACAAATACTGTAAATACCAATACAACACAGAATACATATAAATAAACATACAGTGTCTTGTGAGCTAGTTTTGAAGATCAAAAGTAAAAAAAAACAAAAAAAAACAAAAAACAGTTTTTGCCTGGATGCCTCCAGTCTGGATTTGTTAAATTCCATCAGCAGCATCTGATTTAATTTAACGAAGTACTGATAAACCAGGCATTAGATAAAACTACAAATAAATCAACATTTACTGACCAGATATAAAGCTTTTCTGCCTTTCCGTCTGACTTTTTCCCACAATACTACATACATATATAGGTATAATTTTAAGTACCTTAAAAGGTTAAGAACTATAACGTCTCACCAGCGAGACAAAATACCAAGCTATGTTCAAAGCTTTACTGCTCTTCAAGTAGTGTGAGCTAGAGAGATGTGTTTTTTTCTTCTTGAAACTAGAGAAAAAAGCCAAAGTTCGTCTTTGTTGGTCACTTGCCTATCCTAAACCTACAGCGTAAATTTACAGAAAACATCTGCACTTGGCAAAATGCTAATCCAACTGTTTTGTATACAGATCCAGTTCAATCTTTAGCCGTTTTTGTAATGTCATGTGATGCATAGTCCATGTTTTGTATTTGACAGGCTTTGGTTAGCGAGCCACAGCCAATCGGAGTATGTGATTTGGAGATTTTTAATGTGTGCAGCGCTGAAGATTGGGTGCGCAGATTGGCTTTGGTTAGGCTGCATCACCCACTTGCAGTTTCTGATGTAAAGAAAGTCGTAGTGTTTTTGGGCAAGCAGAAACAGAAAAACAAATAATATGCCTACGGGCTTTTGTCTGAAGACAAGGCTCTAGAATTGAACGACGCATGACGCACAGTGTGACTCAGATCCCAAATTATGTTCTTCAGAAGATCTGAGTGATGTTGGCAACATAATGCAGATGATAGAGATTGTGTAAAAAAATACAAAACAATTGTCCCCTTTCTTGTGTGGCGTCTGAAAAGTACTCTTTTGTACCTATGGACAGAAACTGCCAAGAGAACTTTCATATATAAGCAATGTTGAAGTAAAAACTTCAAACAAGTTGTATATTAGGTAAAAGGGTGTTGTGCAGTTTTCTGTGTTAACTTTCTTTTGATACCATTAATTTTTTTTTCAATAAAAACTGCAAAAAATAATTAAGTTCATGTTTTGTGCTACTTAGTTTTTTACGGGTTAATCCATGAATATGGTGTTCAGAAATATTTTTTGAATGACATTTTATTAGCGGAGGTTGTGCTGAATCTGGGGAAGTAGAACACTCTGGTCCTGTCAAAAAAACTAAACAAGATAAACATGCCAAACACAAAAGTATGCAAAGGCAGAAGTGTCCCAAAGTAGATCTTAAAGGGTTAATACCAATTTAAAAGTAAAGTTTGCAGGAAAATAAATTAATGTAGATCTTTGAGAGAAACTGAAAATCACTTATACAGGGCCGCGCAGAATGTTCTTTGTTAATCCTTATCATGATATCGGTCTTTGCAATACTGATATCACAGAAGGCTGTAATATCCAAATGAGCCTATAACCAATCAGTCTTTGTTCACTGTGTGCTGTGAATATCTAGGCCAATCACAAACACTGATGAATCAAGTCATTCACATGAACAAATAAGTTAAAATAATGCAACCTTTAAAATGAATGGCTCCCCAATGTGTTGTAATGTAATGCATATCACAACTGCAATATACAGTATATAATCACAGTATGGCACTCTGTCCATATCACACAGCCTTACGATATCCAGTACTAAAACACTGTGTTAAGCATACCTGGTCATGGCTAGCTTGAATGGAACTCCCAATGCCATGGAAAGTCATTTGGACAGGTGAAAGGGTCAGATAGGTCATAAATTCTTTGTCAGTCTGTCCGTCTGTATACTGCACCTGCGGAGGAGGTAAAAAAAAGAAAAAAAAAGAAAAAAAAGGGGGATTAGACAGAGTATCACACAGGGACATTACGCTAGCCTTGACCGGAATAAACAGCACATCAGACTGAAAGTGTTCTCGAGACACGCAAACTTTACCATCTAGTTTTAGTTTCACTATAAAACACAGCAAAACAGACAAAACAGTAACAAAGCCTAACTTCCTCCACCGAACTGAGTGTTATTACAAGGTCTTGCTGGGGGGAATTTTGGCCCAGTTTTAACACTCAGGGTCATTTGAGGACACAAACAGCAACTACTGTCAAACTACTCAACAACACCAGGAGGAGTTTCACTGTGAGCACTTTCTGATCATTTCATGCCTGACCTATATACACCTCCAACAGACAGAGAGAGAGAGAGAGAGAGAGAGAGACAAGAAGAAGAAAAAAATGGAAAATGGGGAGGATAAACAAGAAAAGGATTAGAAAAAAAGAGAAACAAGAGAAAGAAGAAAAGTTGAAAGAAATGAAAAAAGAAATGAAAAAAGAAAAAGAAGAAGAAAAGATTAAAATTAATAGAAGAAAGAAGAGAAGAAAGAAAAAATAAGCAAAAACAAACAAAGACAAAGAGTAGAAAGAGAAGAGGATAAAGAGATCAGAGAAAAGAGAAAAAAGAGAAAAGAAGAGAAGAGAAAAAGAAGAGAAAAAGAAGAGAAGAAAAAAGAGAAGGGAAAATAGAAGAGAAGGAGAGAAAGTGGTGAAATGAGTAGAAGAAAGAACAGAAAAATGAAGAGAAGATAGAAGGAAGAAAAGAGGAAAGAGAACAATAAAGAAGAGAAGAAAGAAAAGAAAAAAGACGATAAGGTATAAAAAGAGGAGCGACAAAAAAAAGATAGAGAAGATAAAAGGAGAGAAGAGAAAAAGAGAACATGAGAAGCGAAGAGAAGAGAAAGCGTTTGGTGTGCAACTGTGCAGCTGTTGGTTTAACCTGCAGCTGTGAACAACAACTATAATGCTAAATATTTGTTTGACAAGAATCACTTTCAGAATGACTTTAAACTGTTCTGATAAAAGGCTGTGGTGGAGGAGAAAGTCAAGCGAAAAAAAGGAGGGGAACAAGAGGAGGAAGAGAAATAGAAGAGAAAGAAAAAAGAGGAGAATAATTGAACAAGAAGAAATATGAAAACAACGAAGAAATAAGCAGAAGAAAGCACAGAATAACAAAAATGAAGAAAAGAAAAAGAAAAAGAAGAAAGAAAAGGAGAAGACGAGAGCGCAAAGAAAGAAGAGGAAAGAAAAAGAAAAGAGAAGAGACCAGGAGAAAGTGTTTGATGTGCAACTGTTTGTTTAACCTGCAGCTGTAAACATCAGCTTTAATGATAATTATTTGTTCGACAACATTCAGTTTCAAAATGACTTTAAACAGTTCAGATAAAAGGTGAGGGGAGTGGGGGAGGTAGTGTTCTGGGTGTGTTTGCAGGGTGGTGACTGTGGTACAACCTCTGGATCCAGGCTGCGTGCTAGATCATTAAGGAAGTATAAAGGTTCTGCACAATGGTGTGAATTATTACACAATCAGTGTGTCACAGAAACACATGCTTGATTAGCACTGCGCATCATTAGTTCTCGGTCCATGTCAGAGTTTTAAGTTAAACTGCTGCCCAACATGTGGCAGCCTTCCAGCCAGCTCACTGAATCATGGGAAATGGAGGCCCCCCTGACACTCCATACATCAGGCGCACTAGAGGAGCAACAGGCTACACAATGAAGATGGCTGAAAGATCACGCTGTGAGAAGGAGAAATTAAGCTCATCTGATTGATCTCTTTCCCGATCACTCTAGCGTTTGTTTGGCCACATTTTCTAAAGGGTTCTGTGCACCAACAGTAAGAGAGCACATGACTGGCTGAGGAGTAGGAGTGGGAATTCCTACAGCATACTTAGCTCAAGTATCTAAATACAAATAAATCACAACACCCACTATGTATATATATATGCATGGTGGGCTTCACACACACAAGAAATATCAATGCTATATTATTAAAATCAGAATTTACGCTGTCAAGCTGCTAACAGTGGAAGAACCCGTTTTGGTGTTATAAAGAATACTTTTCAAAAAGGTACCGTAGAGAACCATTCACAGCACATTCTTTATCAACCTGAATAACCTTTTCACCATGCAAAGAACCCTTTAATCATGCAAAGCATACTGTGAGTGTTCATGGTTCTATATAGAACCAACCTCTTTACTCAAGAACCCTTCAAGAACCATCTTTTTAAGTGTATACAGTGGCAAGAAAAAGCATGTGAACCCATTGGAATTACCTGTATTTATGTATAAATTCATCTTAAAATATGGCCTGGTGACAATATTCGGAAAGACCACACAGCACTACGTATGGTGTAAAAAAGGTCACTGTATACCAACATGGAAACATTATTCCTATGGTAAAGCACGGTGGAGGGAGTATCATGATGGGCTGCTTTGCTGTCTCGTGTCTGGATCAATTGCCATCATTGAGGGAAAAACAAATTCCTAAGTTTATCAAGGTATCCTACAGGATCATGCTGTGGAATGACCTCAGGAAAGCCGTTCGCACTGGACTTCTGAAGAATACGACTGAGCTAAAGCAGTACTGTAAGGTAGAATGGTTCGGTATTCCTCTGGAATGTTGTGCAGGTCTGATCTGTAGCTACCAGAAGTGCTTGCTTGACTGCACTGCTGCCAAAAGAGGTTTGACAAGCTATTAAACCCAAGGGTTCACTTTCTTTTTCACCAGCAATGTGAACATTTAAATTGTGTGCACAATAAAGACACAAAAGATTGAGGTGTGTGTTATTAGCTTTAGCACACTATCTGTATGTGTATATATATATATATATATATATATATATATATATATCACACACACACACACACACACATACATATACAGCACTGTGCTACAACCAGTGTCAGGAGATATTTCTAAGGAGATATTCCACCTGAATAAGGAACTAGAATAAGAAAACTGAAAAAGGAGGATTTTCCAAAATTGCAATTCAAAGAAAAGCTGTAACAGAGGTAAAGAGTGGACATTATAATTAGTTGAGGCTTCTGAATAATTGTCTGTTAAATTATTTTCTGCTTTGCTTCTCCGAGGCTGAAAACCTGTTGCTGTTCTAACCAACTTATCAATCACATAATAAAAAATGTGTTACTTTTTGTTGAATTTATGCTTATTTGTATTTATTCAAATACTTTAGTGTTTTTACTGGTAAAAACAGCCTTACTAGCTTACTTTTAACAGTACATCATGCTTCGCAAAAAACTTTTCTGTTTTTTCTAATATAATCTACACTTTATTCATCTGACCTCATTTTTTTTTTTTATTGACTCCCTACCTGCTCATGCAGTTAGTCCACTTTTATGCTATAATAGCCAAAAAATCTTGTACAAAAACTGTTTCAGTTCACAAAAATAATAGTCTTAATGCATGTGCCCAGTCTCAGTGGGATACTTATTAAGATTAAATTTACATTCAGCCCAATATTACATTTATCTGCCAAAAGATTACAAAATGGAAACAGTCCTCTGCTGTAATTCATTTTAGATGCTAATGCAATTATGTAATTTGCACTGAGAACTGGAGCGGCCCCAAATGGCTCACAATGTCAAAACGTGTCAAAACAAATGATGCACTCTTTTCTACATGTGTAGCAGAGCTGTGGACTGTAGAGCTATGGTTTCCGCAGCAAAAAAAAAACAAAAACAAAGTTATATGTAGGAAAGTGCAGGTCAGACTTAACAAGTCAATAGGAAAAAATACAAACTGAACAACAATGATTATCACAGAACCAAGACACTGCTTCTCTGGTGATGAATCAACCCATTCACTCCCATTTTAAACCTTTATTTACTAGGAGAGCAAATGACTCAAGAAATCACACTTCTTTAAAACTAAACATTAAACCTGCATACACCCCTCCAATTTAGTTGTGTCCAGTTCCCCCCGTTAGCAAGGTCTCCCTCACTCACACCACGCTATCAAGCTGGGAGAGTGAAGACGTGCTGCTTTTCAAAGTATCGTGTTAGTATCGCTGTATAAAAGATGTGCAACGCTTTCTTTATTGTTGGATGCAGAGTATGTTTACCGAGCACTCTGAGAGTTCCATTATTTTCCTAGTAATTTCTTACAAATTCAAACATCAAATTTTTGACTGAAGTGCACGTCCCTTGTAAAAAGGTGGTAGACCACCCTCAATCTGGTCAAATTCCACAACTTGTTGATTTTCTAAGTGAAAATAAATGAACACATCCTCTACAGAAAACACACTTAAATATGTTTTTTTTTCATCAAATTAATAGCAATTGTGCACTAACATGCACAAAAGTGTGTTCTCTGTAGAAGATGTGTTAACTTCATTTCGCTTAGAAAATCAACAAAACATGAAAATTTGACCAGGAGTGCCAAACTCTTGCAAACAACTATGTATGGTAAGTGTTTGTTTTTTTTTTAATTAATGTTTTATGGTTTTAGGAATAGGAACAGTAATAACAAACATGAGTTCAGAGGTAGGTTTATTCACATTCAGTCTATCTGTCAAGAAATTGTGAAACTAACTGTGCAATATGACGCATAAACGCATAAACATACCTTCTGCTGTAATGATAGCATGAACTCAAGCTAGCACTGACTCCATATGTTTGTTGAAATGCCTCTAACCAGTAGATCAAATCTACCTGAGAGTCATCTGAACTTGTGTTACAATGAAAGGAATAAGACTCAAAAAATATCTGACCTTTTTGTACAAAAGCCTCAACAGAGTCAATTTCACAAATTTGCTTTGATTTGAGTAGTGACCTTAATTTAAATGTCATAACTTTTCTTTATTTTACATTTTCAATACTCTAAAAATCTGTTGTTTATTTCCAGATTCAAAAGAAAACAAAAAAAAACAATATACCTGATTTTAAGTGTGGGCTTAGATTTTTGGATCTCACAGTCAGCTACTACAGCGCTTTCAAAGTATGCTTC